CCTAAAATGCCATGTTTCTTCACTATTATTTTTTTTCTTGTCATGTGTTTTTAATCCAATTTATCAACATTAAGAATAAATTCTTTCGGGGCACCTGGGTGGCTCAGTCCGTTGAGCGTCTGACTTCAGCTCAGGTCATGATCTCGAGGTTCGTGGGTTCAAGCCCCACGTCGGGCTCTGTGCTGCTGGAGCCTGCTTTGGATTCTGTGTGCCTCTCTCTCTGCCCCTCCCCCACTCATGCTCTGTCTCTCTCACTCGCTTGCTCTCAAAAATAAATAAAAACATTAAAAAAAATTTTTTTTTAAGAATAAATTCTTTCTACTTTTCTAAAACCTTGAAACACTAATATAAAATATAGAGTAAAGTGGAGAAGCTGAAAACAGAAAATTTTTAACTATGTAAACTGAACTCTGGGGACTATTGCCAGAGTAGAGGAGAATGTTGGCAGCAGATGCCTCAAATAAGAACACAGTGAAGTCCTGTCATTCAGAAAAGAAGATGACTATTAATGGAACATTTTATTTGCTTTACTTCATCTTTATTTACTTTTGTAAGTTGAAAATTCACTTACTGGCCCAAAAAACCAGCCCTGTTAGGAAAAAGGGTATCTCAGTTCAGGAGCTCAGGATACCCAGCTCAAAGAACAATTACATTCTTGTAACAGAGACAGATATCTTCGGTCATCACTGCAAACACCACTAAACTATGAACTCACATGATGATTTCATGGCCATCCTGCAAATGTTTATCATATTCCTAACTCACAGAGAGTAAGTTTTCTTTTCTACATATAGAGAATATAATGGTTAGGCAAGTGTAAATATCTAGTCTGCCTAAGAGCTTCACTTCTCATTAAAATTAATAAATTAGCATAATGCTGATATACTTCAGATTCTGGTGAGTCTAGTGACAGAACCACCCTGTTCTGGTCAAGTCCAGAACACTAATCAAATAATTTCTGAAATGACAACCTAAGGGCCAGAAGCTGACGGTAAGTAACATCCCTCAGTGAGACTGAAAGGTACAGTCATCCAGGCTCCTCATAATGATACTTCTACACAAGTATTTATCTACATGCTAAAAAGATACTAGAGAAATGCAACACCAACTTGGAAAAGGTAAATAAATGGTAAACTCAGTAAGGATGAAAATACTAAAATGAGAACAGTTTTCCTAAGGTAGAAGATGCAGTAGGCATTTTTTAAGATAACACTTTCATTAAGGTATGGTATGATTCAATGGTTTTTATATATTCACAGAATTGTGTAACCATCACCATAATCAACTTTAGAACATTTTCATCATCCCAAAAAGAAATCCTACATCCATTAGCATTTACTCCCTATTCCTCCCAAACTCCTCCATCCCGAGGCCACCACGAAAGTAAATCTTTCGGTCTCTTTAGATCTGCCTATTCCGGAATCATCTAACATAATCTTTTGTGGCTTCTTTCACTGGCATGTTTTCAAGGTCCTAGCATGTGTCAGTACTTCACTAACTTTTATTGCTGAATAGTATCCCATTGTGTGGATATACCAGACTTACTTATCCACTCATCAAGTGATGGACATTTGAATTTTTTCTACCTTTTTT